AACGACTAATGGTCATTTTTATATGCAGCATTTGTCGTGAATTAAGGTGAACCATTGACATTGGCGTACGAACCATGGATTGTAAATTACTATTTTAACCTAAACTGATGCTGATGGGTAGGGTATCGCATACTGATATCTACAATAAATAGATCTAGTTCTGCCCGGTGATCCAGCCGACGATGATGGCAATAGGTGCAGCAATGATAGCGACTGGAAAGAATAACGCGTAAATGCCAAGCATCGTTGCTACATTGAGCACATCGAGGATCTTGTCACCGAGTTCCTTTTTGGGCTGTTCTTGGCGACCGTACAGTACACGTGCACCTTCCGAACGGGGTTGAAATGTAGCGCTGGTTGGTGTGATTGTCTTGGTCACGTCTTTGTAGATGGAGATGACGGTGGAGTTGTACCAGGCGGCTACGACGGGTTTGACTTGGGCTTCGGTTGAGGCGATCGCTTGTTCTTTGAGAGTTTTGGCAAGAGTCGTGATTGGGGTTGCGGGGGTGACGTTGACCAAGGTCTGAACAAGTCCAGCATTCTTGATACCCTTGGTAAAGGCCTTTACGAGTTCACCCTCCAGAGCCTTTGTCTGCTGCTTCAGTTTGGGCGCTTGGGATTTCACCATGGCGGCTTGATTGATTTTGGAAGCGTCGACGCCAGAGTCGACCACCGCTGCGGCAACGATCTGCGGGAGGATTTCGGACTGGAGGTGGGTATTGAGGGAGGAAGTGATGGAGAGGATGTTGGGACGCAGTGTGTGTTGGATTGCACGGTCGAGGGCGAGGGAGACAAAGGCCGAGGCGCTATCCTTCAGGAAGGATGCTTGGGCGGTAGCCAGGAGGGTGAAGGGGAGAAGATGGTGGAGTTTGACCATTGTTGATGAGTGAGTGACAGATGGAGGTGGTATCCAAAAAAGGTCAAGGTGCTGCTCTCGGCCTGTTGATCCTGTATATTCGTTGTATTAGACCACTGCTGAACGGTGCATGCCTGAGCGTCATCGCCGCCAATGAAGCAGTATCTATATAGCTTGTGGAGGATACTGACGGCATCTTCCGGATTCGTGTCAGTTCTGACTCTTCTGAACCGTTTTGTGGAATTGTTGTTTTTCTTTTTTGCTTTTGTCGTGTGCGATTTTCCACATGTTAGCGGCCCGAAGCGCCGAGCACCTGCGAGCAAGTACAGCAGCGCGCGTTGTTGTTGTTGGAAGGTTTGGTACGCGTCAAGTAACAGGCGGCACAGTCATGCAATGTCTTTGGGCGAGTCGCCGCGTTGAGGAGGATATAAGTAGATCTGCATCAGATCTAGAACCTCTCCACGGCAATGTTTCTTGATCTTGAGCGCCCGGAACTGCGTCACGCCAAGTGCACGCGTACTGTCTGTCGCCCTTGCAGATGGGAAGAGTACACTGAAGCGGGTTTCTGGCGCAGCGGCGGCAGCGTCACCGCTTCAGTGTACTCTTCGCGACAAAATATATTACTCTGCATGCAAGAACCTTTGGATGCACCTCACGAACGCTTCCTGGTATCCTTCGTTGAGGGGGGTGTGGGGAGGCAACGAGCACACAGGCTGGACTGACCTGCATGTCTAGGAAAAAAACCGTGTAGAGGCCCCCTTCATAGAGTGAATGACCCACCTGCGGACCGAGCTCCTACTTCCTCGCCGACAAGAGGCCATAACGCCTGGGAATTCGCGGGCCCCCATGCCTCCGATCATCAAGGAGCTGACCGAAAGACGCGATGCCGTTCTGACTGAGGACGATCAACTTGCGCGGACGTACAAGGACCCGATGTCTTGTGAGGAACTCAGGAACACCACTTTTGAAAAAAATGAAAAGCATCAGCGGCAAGGACGCGGCTGGGGATGCGCTCCTGGCATCTGCATCCTGATATTGATCTGCAGGGAAAGAGTACGGTTACGTGGGTTTATGGCCGCGATCTTTCCAGAGACCCACACTGCGTTCCGACGGCGGGAATATTTCTGCGCAGTCGTAGTTTCGTGGGTCTCTAGACGCATATAGATCTAGCCATTATAAAGTATAGTTGTATTCTCGATAATTCCGTGAGAACGCGCTATTCACAATCATAATTTAGGGAGTTTATGGACCATATTATATGACTGACCCAATCACTATTCTGATGCTTTCACTCCCTCCTCTGTCGCTTGATGATGCGAATAAGCCCTTGGGCGTCCTCATCATCGCCTTCTTCTTCGTCGTTTTCATCCTCGTCATCACCATCATCCAAGTCGGTCGCTTGCGACGGGTTACAGCTCGAACGCACAGCACAGATGCCGGAACTTAAAAATTAAGACAAAAGGGCAGGCGCTGGTCCTGAATCTGACCTACATGAGTATAGTGCAGGGATGACAGTAACACGCTACACATCCTCCTTCGTATCATGATCAGCATTCGAGGCCTCTAACAAATGGCGACACCTCTAGCTAGTTTGGTGGCACAGTCATGAGGAAACTTGTCAAAACGGAACTCTTGCCGGACTGACCAAGAAGACTATCTTAAGCAATGCGTATCAACAACTTCAAACCAGCATGCTGCCAATAGCATCAGACTATTCTATTGGCCGTTTGCTAGTATGAACCGTTTGCACCAAGGGGCAGCTTAGCTTCGTTAGTAGCAGTTTTTCGCAAAAGATTGCGCCTCCTATAGCGGCCAATCGCTAACAACCGCTTACCATATTCAATCGAGTACAGCGTTTGTGTTGACCTTGCACCGCTCCACAAATTATCCTTCAATGGTCTTCTACCCATGCCCACAGTTAGAGCACAGGCGCCCGGCGCCCCAATTAAGCAACCGTGCGATAACTTATAATACAAGTAGAGCGAAGCTCTGTTGGCTCGCAGCACTCTACTACCATACAACCACCTTGGATGTCTCTCCTTGTTCCCTCTCGCTGCCTTGCTCGCAGGCCTCTATCTACTACTATTCAACCCGTCTCCGTGTTCTCACTGCTTCAATTTCAATAAAGTTCTTGTGACAGTGGTACAAATATTTGGGACGACGCCACAAACAAGCGCCACACTTTTGACGTGCTTGTGGGGAGGTAATTAAAGTTAAGTGTATAAAGCTCTCCTGCATCTGGCAAACCCCCCTTAACGCACAAGCACACATAAAATACATATCCGCCGACGTCATGGAAGCCGTCCGGTTCTACCTGCAAGAGACGCCACCGCCAACCGCCTTACGATGTCTCGGATCGGTTCGTGCGAATCAGCCCGTCACTCGACTTTTATTGAACCGCATCCTGACGTCCGTCTTCCCGGTGCTGGATGCCAGTACCTTCACCCTACACCACAAATCGACTGACAGCGCGGGCGAACTTCTCGCAGATGGGCCGCAGACATCAGATGAGCCAATTATGAACCTTGTGGTTTTGGTTCCGACGGGCACCAACGTCGGTCGAGCTATGGGAGGTCACCCTTTGTGGTCACCAATTTCTAGGTCCACAACCCCCGTTTCGAGTTCATCAACGAGTTCATCAACGCCCCTGCATACGCCTACGGACACTTCCACACCTGCGGTCCCCACGCCGGCCGCCGTGAACCAAATCGTGACTACGGATTTCAAAAGGCTCAGGGCAGATTTGCAAACAAAACTGACTACAATTTGTTATGTAAGGGACCGTGGGTGCTGCATTACCTCTGATCCTATGAGCAACCGCATCGAGTGTGCACATGTAATGACACCGGAATTTGCTGTTTCCCTGGTATGTCCTTTGGACATCATGATGTTCCTTTCAATTTCTTTTCCCTGTATTAACCCATTCCATTGTCAAGATAACGAATAACGACGATTTCGAACGTTTCCTCTCGAACGAACCGAGTGTTCAGAAGCGCGACGGAACCACGCAATACTCTGTCGGATATGACGTTGTGAACGCTTTCATGCTGGAAAGACAGCTCCACAACGATTGGAACGCATTCCGTTGGTCAATCTTGGATGACGGGTCAGGAGCGGTAAGGCAACCCCTGCCATATTTATGTGTCACCATCGCAGTTGTGGCGTCAATCCTCACCTTATTCAACTTTTGCAGTTTCGCGCTTTCCGGTTTCAGGCGGCAGCCGCTGTTGAACAAAATGCTCTTGTCCGGACCCCAAGTCTCATTGACTTACGCTTCCCGCCGGTCGCATTCTTTCGGGAGCATTTCAAGGAAGCCGCTCGCCGCAATTTTAGGGCAGCCGGCGAGTTCCAACCATTGCCAGATGAGCCTGGTGCTGGAGGAGCAGCGGAAGTTCTTGCAGAGGAGTGGCAGTCGGACGACGAACACACCGGGCCGATGGAGCTGATCGATAAAATGCTGCTGAGAATCAGGGATAGTTAGGAGACGATAGTCACCGGGGAACTGTTCATCAGTTGAGGGTCTCCGGTGGGATGCCATTTCGCCTGGTTTGAGCTTTTTACAAGGCCACTGTTTCGGCATGCAGCCACTTCCGTCTCGTCTGCTGCAACAGATCGGAGGGTTGCGCTCACCGATTTCATAGATTTTTTCTCTTTCCTATGTCTTTGTTGACGACCACATGATTACCATATTTCATCGTCAATAAAGACACAGGAAAGAAAAGCCTTCTACTGAGGTATAAATGAGAACACTCTTGGCTGGCCGGAACCTTGACAAAATCTCAAGGACAGAAAGCCAATTCTTTACTTTCTTCGCTGGGTTTCGCCATGTTCGGCCCCCTTACGTTTCCCATTGGAACAACTTCTACAACCATCGAAAAAGACCTGACGAACGCTCTGGTCGACTGCTGGACGACCTTTTGAACGGTTGCGCACAGAGTTCCTATGGATTAACCGAGTTTAATCCTCGAACTCTCAGCTTCTTGTGGAGGCAGGAGAAAAGGGACGCCATTGTACAGTTGATGCAGCAACATTTGAGAGACCCTTTCGCAAAAGGGTTCGAAGCGCGACCTCATCTTGTGTTGAATGCAAAAGAGTGCGCCCCCGGCAGGGTTCGAAGCGCGACCGCAAAAAGAGTGAAAAAGTGCGCCCCCGGCAGGGTTCGAACCTGCGACCGTCTGATTAGAAGTCAGAAGTGCTAATCCACTACACCACGAGGGCCTGCTCATTGCGAGAGTGTGGCTGTAGATCATATGGAAACATATAGTACAGCCCTTGCATGGTATCGCAGCACAGGCAGATGGATGACAGAGAACTTGTACGAGAGAGAAAAATCTATATATGTACAAGATCAGAATGTATACATGGAATTCTAAGAGTCCTCCTCGACACTAGGCGGTTTAGGCTTTTCTTTTTCTCCACTTAACCTTGCAATAGTCTCTTCTACAATGACGCTCCGCGCCAAGCTCTGCGAGCTCGCGGATCTTCTTCGTCCTAATCGCCGTTCTCTCACTACCCTCCACCAGACACTCATTGTCTCCTTTAGCAGGTCGCGACTCGCTGGTTTCAGCAAATAGCTGTCCGCCCCCATTTGCATGCATCGAGCATAATCCTCGGGCAATGCGTTGGCTGTCATCATCACAATGGCCGGTCGACGCTCTTCCGGGTACTTTTGAACCAGAGTGTCACACGCTGTGAGCCCGTCCATGACGGGCATGCACACGTCCATAAATATGAGATCCGGCAGCGGCTTCTGTTCGGCTTCTAATGATGTGAGGATATCAAGACATGCCTGGCCATCGCCTGCAATCAACGGAGGGGCGCCCGTGATCCGTTCCAACTGTTTACCAACCGCTTTTTGGTTGATCAAGTTATCCTCTACCAACATGACCAAAATCCGCGTCCCGTCCTGCAGTACCATACCCGCCTCTTGCTGTTGTCGCTTCTCTGCCCGCAGTTTCGTCAGTTGTGCACTCGGCGACACGGGCATATCTTTGCCACTCATCAGTGACACAATCTCCGTCTGCAACCGTCGCACTTTGATCGGATCGGTCACATTGACAATGTGATCGGGTTGCACCAATCCTCGGACCTTTTCTCGGTTCTCCCGGGTGCTAATAACGGCTATGGGAACATGCTTTGCCAAGGTCATGATCATGATTCGGTCACTCAACCCAGCTTCATCTACCAACGCAACGTGAAAACTCTCGCCCCTGTTGATGCGTTCCAACCCGGCTTCGAGACTTTCCACCATTACCAGCTCTCCACCAAGCGGTATGACCGCACACCCCACAATCTCTGCCATGACCTTCCACTTGCTCACAAGCATCACCCTTTTCCCATCGCATCGGACAATGACCACCCCAACCTCTTCGAACTGGTCATTCAATCGATCCATCTGCGTTTGCTTTGCCAGTCGCGCAGTAAACCAAAATGTGGATCCTCGGCCGACCGCCGACACAATACCAACCTCACCACCCATCATTTGAACTAATCGGCGCACAATCGAAAGACCGAGGCCCGTGCCGCCATACATCCGTGATGTAGAACTTTCAGCTTGCTGAAACTCCTTGAACAGCTTGCCTTGATTGCCAGGTGCTATACCGATTCCTGTATCTGACACAGAAACACGTATGTACACGTCTCCATCACCCTCTTGTTGCGGCAGTAGCTGCTCCATTTGGTCATTCACTCTACCGTTCCCATCAGCGTTATGCTCTTCCGCCAATTCGATCCTCAAAAGGACGTGTCCCGTTTTTGTAAACTTGACCGCATTCGTGAACAGATTTATAATCACTTGGCGTAATCGCAGTGAATCTCCCTTGACCCACGGATGCACAAGTGGTGATACATATCCCCCTACACGAAGTCCTTTGGCTTGTGCTTGTGGCGCCATGAGTTCAAGCACGTCCTCGGTTTGCGCACAAAGGTTGAATGGGATATTTTCCAGCGTCATTTCGCCCGCCTCCAATTTGGCGAGATCTATTTTTTTCCCAGTGAGAAAAACCGCGAAAATAATGACACAACCCGTTGTTGAACAACTCACCCAGGATACTGTTGATCAACGTCAGCGAGTTATCATTACTCTGCTTTATAGTCAACAGCAAGTCTGTCTGCTCTTGAGTCAACTCCGTCTCCAACAGCAGATGAATCATCGTGAACGTTGCGGCTAAAGGGTTCCTGATTTCATGTCCCACCTGTCGTACCCAACTGCTCTTATTCATACTCTCCAACTGTGCCATCTTGAGCTCAGTGATGTCTTGGAAGACGCCGAATACTCGAACATATACGAATTGATGCTTGGAGGAATCGATACGAGACGGGTGCGTGCGGAGCGCAATGTGACGCGGGGCTTGGGGTTCGGCAAGTGGACCAGGGTGAACGCGGAACGTAAGACTGAGGGAGGTTTCCATTCGGTTCTCGAAAGCCGCAACGACTTCAGGACGATCGCAGTCGAACACTAATCCCAACCAACAAGTTGGATCCCTGTGCATTTCACTGATGGGTATACCAAACATTTTCGTAAACGCCGGCGAAAGATGCAGCAGATTTTCTCGGCTTGGGTTGTCACCGTTCCCAACCTCTACAATGATAAACGCTTCTTGAATCGAGTCGGTCAATGATCGAAAGTTTTCCTCGGACTCTCGCAGATGATTTTCGGTCAGCTTAATAAGCTCGATTTTATCACGCAAGTCTTCATTTGCACGCTTTAAATGCAGCTCTCGCAAAATCAAGGCGTTGATGAGCGCGTTGAGAGAATAGGATAGGCGTGCTATCTCATCGTATCCCTTGACAGTGGGAATGTTGGGCATGGCAGCGCGTTTTCTAATCGAGTCAGCCGCACGAGAGATTTGGACGAGTGGAGCCGTTGTCAAATGCGCAACCATATACGACGAGACAACCAGGACTAGCCCCAGAAAAAGGTACGTGATACCTAAAATCTTGATCACTTGTTTAGACGTTGCATAAGCGTCGCTGGTTGCTTTTCGGACGAGGATCCGCCAGCCAAGGGTAATATCTCGGTATCCCTTTGCCTGGGTATACCCCACTAGGTAACGCGTTCCTGACGGCCACTCCTCAACGTGATACCCTGATAACCCTTGGCCCGCTTTCGCAAACGCCGAATCTTCTCCGCGTGGGACATCTTCAAAGAGCTTATCGTCTACAGTACGAGGGGCTTGTACCATCGCGTTTTCTGTGAGCACATACAAATGCTCGTCTGCATTCAACGCCGTCTTTTCAATAAACCTTCCAAGGTTGATATCCAAGTGCGCGCCAACAACTCCAATTTGAACGCCATTCATGTCAAACAACGGCATGCTCACATCAACTAGCTGAAGACGTTCTTTTAGCTGCAGCGCGCCTTGCAGCAGTAGGGCATCATGCACGTCCCCAAGGTACGGGCGAGGGTTATCCGGGTCCGCATCGAGACACTCCTTGTACCAGGGCCGTGCACTGACATTAAAGCCAGCCAAGACTCCATTTGTAGCCGCGCGCACGATCCCATTCATATTTGCGATGCCGATCCAGGAATAAAACTCAAACGTGGCCTTAGTGTCGTCCAGTAGCAGTTGAAGCTCAGAGTCCGGTGTGGTGGGATCGCGAATGTGTTTAAGAGACGCAATGATGCGGATGTCGGAGTAGCGCTCAAAGAGAAGTTGGTCGTAGGTGACGCTCACCCCGAACGCACGCCGGTAAAGGGCTTCTCCAGAGTTGCGGCGGAGGTGCTTGACAAGCACTCCCGCGGTGACACCTACAGAGACTCCAAGCATGATGACCGATACTACAAACATGGCAATTGCTAGACGAGTCTTCATACGTGTGGACACCACTGTGAGATTAAAACGTTGAGAAGCCATGGCCAGAGCACCTGGAATGTTACCTTGATTGAACGCCGCGGATCTAGTAATTTCAGCCATCGGCGTCTCCGGCTGCGAGGCACACCCTCCGTTCGGGAACCAGGAAAAGAAAATATTGAGGGCCCTACATCATCGCCTTCTTTTGAAGAGTTGAACGTTGACATCTCCCCCGTTTCCCGATGAGTGTTGAAACTGGCAGGTGTGTAGGATCGGCTACGTCTCGCCAAACCAAATCCAATCTGCCTCATTACTGCAAACACCACGCAGCATGTTTCAAAGTGTCCAACGGACGCATGAATAGCATGACCCTCACGTTGAACCCAAGATACCCGATACCAAAGTTCTAACCTGGCCGTCCAAAGCGTGTCGCGCGGCCATTATTGATAACGCTAGCTCCGACGATTATGTCATGTCATCGTAGCGATCAACAAGCGCGCAAGCGCAAGCGCATCTCGTTGAGGCTCTCGTCTTGTCGAAAGGTTTCTTACGACTAATGGTGCGAAGCATTCGACCTGTCCACGCGCCCCAAGTGCTGAACGTACAGATCCGGATAATGCCAAAATGCCAAAAAAAAAGAAAAATACTCTATAGCAACAAGATTGCATGTCCTACCTCCCTTCGCCTACATCGACTGTTCACCTGCAAATATTTACAAAAATGGCCGCAGCCCTATTCAGCTATCGAAGAAAGGCTATTTGTTCAACTCTTTCCATCGCACGAACCAAACGCCATATACCCCATACGCCGAGAACAAGTGACAAGACCCAAACCGCAAGTAGAACAATGATGGCCTTCATCAATAGGTTGCTGAATGTCGTTGTTGACGTTACCGAACGCTCTAATCCGAGCGATGGGTATGCACTTTCTGACGAGTCTTCTTCAATCTCAACAGCGGAACCTGGTTCCGCTTCATCCTCTGTAGCTTGACGCTGACTCTTTGGTACGTTCCGACACAACTTCCATACGTCTTTCTCAAACGCTTTCCAAAAACGCACCTGCTCGCCAGGTGTGGCGCGTTCAATGGCTTTTCGCAGCCAACTCGATTTGACAAAAACAATTTCAGTGGCGACGTCCAATTTGGTCTGATCTTTTCGTTCTTGAATCAGACAGATTCTTGTATGTACTTCAAAGCTCCCAGCCCCAGGAACTTCGCCCATGTTTGCGATTCCAAGAGTGCAAATATGCGTCTCAGATACTGATTCGATGGTTTCACTAATATCACAGGGCGCTGAGCGCGGTCCGAGGGGGTTTTGCAAGGGCATCGTATATTTGAGCTGCCGATGGTCGCCGGCTTGAAGTTTACTGATTTCTGGTGAGAATGCGGTGTCCGATTTTGTTATAGTGTTGTAGACAGTAGGAGGA